GCTTCTGAAGCTCTTAGCAACACATCCAGGGCCAGCCACTACTGAAGGGGTGGAGGCAGTGTGGCTCCATCACCCCGCCCTGTCTCCCAGGGCTTACACCTGCCCAACTAAACATCTCTAATGAGGTCCCTGGAGAAGGTGGGGGTGCATACATCAGAGGTAAGGCTGGGCCTTGTTTCTCCCCCCTCAGTAAACTGAACTGCTTAGGGGTACTCTAAGACAGGAGACTCGGGTACCAGTTTACGCTCTGTCATTCTGTTTTACCTTGTGCAAGTTCCCTGCTTGGGCCTCATTATTTATTCATTTAACAACTAGTTACTGATGGCTCATTTGTGTCAGGTGCTGAACTAGTCTCTAGGGACAAAGAATGCCTTGCTACATCAAATGTGAGCTCTGTTTTCATTATCTGCAGCCTTATCTACATCCACACCCACTTTACCTCATTTTCTACTGGATGAGTGTGATGGGGGGGGCCATCCTGTGGGGTTTTGCCCCCATTCCTTTCCTCTTATCTCTAGTACCTGATTCTATCAGCTATTCCATGTGTTTTCTATATCCTCCACCTCCTTCAATTTTCCTCTTCTATGAACATGCTTAAATCTCTTCTATACCAAAATGAACAAAAATTCTAAAAATTCTCTCTCAATTTGATGTCCCTTTCACTTCTGTCATCTCAGTCCACAAGTCATAATCAAAGTACTTGCAATGTGCCGGGCCAATATCATGCTCAATATTGGGGAGGTAAGATGAATGAAACACACTCTCTGCCCTCCAGAAATTCAGAGTTTGGTAAGGGAAATATTCAGGTAGATAGGCAATTACATATCAGCTTGATGGCTACTCTATTAGGTGGATATACAGATGGCTATTACACTGTAAGAAGGGTCCTAACTGAGCCTGGGTTCTGTAGGATGAATAGGACTTAGGTCTAGAGTGAAGAGTGAACAGCACTAGAGGCAAAGTGCAGAGTGGGCAAAGGCACAGAGACTTTAAAAAGCATGGATGACTGGGGGACCTCCATTGGTTTCTGCTGAGAACCTGGGACATCAGTTGGTTTTTGTAGAGAACCTGACTGGCTACTGGTGAAAGAGGAGGCTGAATGGTGGACAGAGAATAGCTAAGGGAGAGCTTTGTCAGCCATTTAATAAAGCTAGGGGTTTTTTTTCATTCATAGTTTATCGTCAAGTTGGTTTCCATATAACACCCAGTGCTCATCCCCACAAGTGCCCTCCTCCATGCCCACCACCCCCTGCCCCTCTCCCCTCAGCCCTCAGTTTGTTCTCAGTATTCAAGAATCTCTCATGGTTTGCCTCCCTCCCTCTCCCCAACTACTTTTTCCCCTTCTCCTCCCCCATGGTCTACTGCTGAGTTTTTCCTGTTCCACTTATAAGTGAAAACATATGATATTTGTCTTTCTCTGCCTGACTTATTTCGCTCAGCATAACCCCCTCGAGTTCCATCCGTGTTGCTGCAAATGGCCAGATTTCATTCTTTCTCATTGCCATGTAGTATTCCATCGTATAGATAAACCACATCTTCTTGATCCATTTGTCAGTTGATGGACACTTAGGCTCTTTCCATGTTTTGGGTATTGTTGAGAGTGCTGCTATGAACATTGGGGTACATGTGCCCCTATGCATCAGCACTCCTGTATCCCTTGGGTAAACTCCTAGCAGTGCTATTGCTGGGTCATAGGGGAGTTCTATTGTTAATTTTTTGAGGAACCTCCACACTGTTTCCCAGAGGGGCTGCACCAGTTTACATTCCCACCAACAGCGTAGGAGGATGCCCACTTCTCCACATCCTCACCAGCATCTATAGTCTCCTGATTTGTTCATTTTAGCAACTCTGATTGGCATGAGAAACCACATCTTCTTGATCCATTCGTCAGTTGATAGACATTTAGGCTCTTTCCATGATTTGACTATTGTTGAAAGTGCTATAACTCTAAGGTTTTATCTTAAGGCAGTTTCTTGGGTTTTTTTTAAATGTTTATTTATTTATTTTTGAGAGAAAGAGGGAGAGAGAGAGAGAGAGAGAGAGAAACAAGTGGAGGAGGGGCAGAGAGAGAGGGAGAAATATAATCTGAATCAGGCTCCAGGCTCCAAGCTGTCAGTGCAGAGTCTGATGCAGGGCTTGAACCCACAAACCATGAGATCATGACCTCAGCCCCAAATTGGATGTTTAAATGACTGAGCCACCCAGGTGCCCCCTTGCTTTTCTGTTTATTTCTTCTGAGTCTTTTCATAAGCTCATCTGCCCATCTTTTCTATGTTGGTGTTTTTTAGGACCCTGACCTAGACCTTCCTCTCTTTCTGTGCTCCCAGTTCTCTCTGGCTAATCTTGGTCACCCACAGTATCTCCTTTCCCATTTAGTGACTGCCAGGAACTCTGAGCTGCAGACCTATATATATATATATATATACCACTAACTGTTCACTGGAGGTCTCCACATGGATATCCCATAGTCACCTTTAGCCCATTGGGTCTATAACTGAGCTTATTATCTTCCTTCATAATCACTCTCTCTGGTCTTTCAGCCCAAACATTTAAAACAGTATTTATTTTTATTATTATCATTCTGATTATTATATGATATTGTGGCAGTTTTAAAAAAACAGGCACAAATTCTTTGACATTCTTCCCTTGTGACTGTCAACCAATAGAATATAACAGGAATGATGTGTGACTTTGGAGGCTGGATCATAAAGGGTCATATAGCTTCCTTCTCTTAATTCTGTCGGGAATGCTCCTTATGTGGAAGCCTCCTGTCAGAATATTCCTTCTTGGAAGCTGGCTACCACATTGTGAGAAGCCCAATCCCATAAGGAATGGTCATATCTCTAGACTGTGTTTGACAGTCACAGCTGAGCTCAGCCTTTGAGTTGTCCTAGCCCAGGCATCAGACATGTGAGTGAAGAAGCCTCAGATGATTCTACCCACCAGGCATTCAAGTGTCCTGTATGAGGCTCCAGGCATCACTGAAGAAAGATACACCATTCTTGCTGTGTCTTGGTTGAATTCCCAGAATCTGTGAACATAATAAAATAGTTGTTGTTTTATACTACTAAGTTTGTTACATAGCATAGCAACCAGAACAAACATATGTATAAAAACATGCACATTTCCTAAGTCTACAGCTTGATGAATTTCACAAAGTGAACACACCCATCTAACCAGCACTACAAGAACCCCACTCTGCTCCCTTCCAGTCATTGCTTTTCCAGGGGTAATCACTATCCTGACTTCTAATACAATAGTTGAGTTTTGCCTGTGAAAGAACTTATATAAACTAAGCATCAGTTTTTATTCCATTTTCCTTTCATATTTATCCAGTCATCAAGCCCTGGTGCCCTACCTTCTAAAGTCCACATGTTTATTTCTCTGTAACTTACTACTTCAGTTTGATCCTTATCAATTTGACAATGTATAGAATTTTTAATAGTTCTCTATTATTCAATAAAATATAAACTCCTTAACATGGCCTCAAATACCTGACATCTATCCGTGTCTTCAATTTCATCTTGCAGTGTTTCCTCTGCCTAGACATGTTCCCTAGCCTCCAGACACGCTGTACTGATTGTAGTTCACAGAGAACCTCCCCATATATTGTTTATTCTTCCTTGCATTGGTATGGGCTGAAACTGCCATTTCTTTTCCTTTTTAAATATTTTTAAAACTAATTTCAGGCTTACAGAAAGTTGTAAAAAAGGTAAAGAAAAGTCCCCCTAAACTCTTCACCCATGCTCCCCTGTTATCATCTTATATAACCAGGGAATTAACATTGGTGCGATACTTTGAAGTAAGCCACAGCCCTGATCTGAAGCTTTCCTTTCTCTGTCTTAGTTTATCATACTCTTGCTCGTTTCTCTGCGAAGATGTCATTTATTCCTCAAAGGCTCCCCTCAGCCCCTTCATCCTTCTTTCCCTTTATCCTCTATACATAAAATCATGTTAAGTGCTGCTCCTTGATGGCAATTATTACAATACATTGCAATTATCTGGCTAAAGGGCTGAGGTCTTCCAGGGCAGACATGGATTCTAATTGATCTGGAATCCTGCCTGGCATGGAGGTGCTTATTTCGTGTTCCTTGAACAAGGAACAAGACAGTATCCAAGGGATCACGGGGCAGCAGGTGTTCGGAAGCTAGGGAGGGGCGGTCACCGGCCGGTACTGTCGTCCAAGCAATCTGTGCAGATGCGGCAAAAATGAAGTAGGCCCTGGGTGCCTGGGTGGCTCAGTCGGTTAAGCGCAGCTCTGGATTTCCGCTCAGGTCATGATCTCAGGACTGGTGAAATGAAGCCCTGTCTTGGGCTTTGCGCTGATAGCGCAGGACCTGCTTGGAATTCTCTCTCTCTCTTTCTCTGCCCCTCTCTCTCACGCTTTGTCTTCCTTTCAAAATAAATAAACTTTAATAGTCTTACTGCAGTCAGCCCTCTCTTGGGCTCAGCTTTTCTACAGGCCCTGCCCACTTGCTGACCCCTCCCCTCAGACCTACTCCTTCATGCTAGCCCCGCCCACTCCAGCCCACTCTTTCATCCTAAGCATTGCTCTGGACCATTGGCCCCGCTCCTTCACGTTAGTCCCTCAGCCGCAGCTCTCTCCCAAGCCCTGCCCCTGGCCTTTCCCTGTCTCTTAAAGTCGCGTCCCTCCATAGGTCCCGCCTTCTGCCCTTCTGGTTCGACCTTTCCTCCTTAGGCTCCCCCCCCCGCCCTGTGGACTCCGCCTCCCCAGGAGTCTTCCCCTATGACACGCTGGAGTCCTTCAGAGGGGCGGGGTTTACAGCGCAAGGGGCGGGACCGTTCGCAAAGCCGTCGGCGACCCCGCCCCTGCGCTCGGCCGTTGCCAGGCAACAAGCCTCGACGCTCCAGCTCTGGTCTGGTCCAGCCAATGAAGTGGCACGCCACTGCCCAGCGGTGCGTCGCTGGGCGGTTACGTGTGGTGCGCGGGGGCGCGGGTTGCGTGTGGCGCGGGGCGGGGCGCGGCTGGTGCGCCTGAGGAGCGATGGCGGCGGCCTGAACTCACCTAGCACGGCTGCGGCGATCGGGCCTGGTCAGGGTCGGGGTTCTGTGAGTGAACAGCAAGTATGGGCCGCAGGGTTCGGAGATTCGCATGAGAGGCTGAGGGATTGTGGAATGACGGCACCGGATTTGGTGACTCTACTGGTTGTGAGGGCACTGGGTGAGGGGCTGGCATGTGTTGAGGGGCCGGGTGTGAGTGTCTTAGGTAGAGGAGCAGGGTAAGAGCCTGAGGGTGAGCGGGCAAGTGAGGAGCTGGGTTGTAAGAGGGGCTAGGGATGCTTTTCAGGGGACCAAGGGAAAGGGACTTGTGAACATGGTTTACTGAGGGGCTGAGGCACCTGTGGGCAGGGGTGAGGGCAACACTGGGACCAGAGTGAGAGGGTAGGGCCTGTGCGGGGAGGGAGAGTAAAGGGCAAAGGCAGGAGCATGCGGGCTGGTGGGGAATGGGTGAGGGAGTTGAGGGTAGGGGATGGGGGGAAGGAATGAGGATTGTGAGGCTTGGATAAGGGTGAGGTAAGTCAGTCCTACTTCGATGGACTGTCCTGCCCAGTGAGAGCAGTAGTTTCAGACCGAGTAGGACAGCCTGGGTGGAAGTGTGCTTTCTGGGGACAGAAAAATGAAGGCATCATGGGCAGTAATAAGTAGGATAAGGAAAATCATTTTTGAGCTTTAGTTTCAACCAGAGTAATCACTGAAACTGCCGGTTTCTCAAGTTCCTCTTTGAGACTTCAAACTTGGAGATGGTCCCTCTCATGGAGGTTTTTTGGCAATGACTGCCCATGTTTGTTTCTTCTCCACCTGCTTCTGGGCAGTCTTACTCCACTGCTGCTTCTCACCTATGCTTAGCTGCACTCTGACCATTGTCATCTAAATTGGACTAACCACTTTGAGTTGCTGATTCTACTTTCATTAAAGTCACATAGTTTGTTACATACAACACTATGTTTAGGTTCTCAAAACAGAATGGCTTTGCTCTAACTCACTTTCTTACAGTTAAGTTTAAAAAAAAACCACCCTACTTTATTGAGGTAAATTGTTATACAGTAAATTGCTCATGTTTAAAATGTACATGGGTTTTACCATATGTTTACATCTGTGAAACCATCACCACTTTCAAGATACAGAACATTTTTACTACACTCAGAAGTTTCTCCTATCCCTTGGCAACTCATTCTTCCGTCCATGACACATTTTTGGGTTCATTTTAGTAGTACCTTGTGGGTCCCTTTTTCCATGCCAACCACATGTACATGAACATTTTAAAAGTTCTAGCCGCGCCTGAGTGGTTTAGTTGGTTAAGTGCCCAACTCTTGATTTCGGCTCAGGTCACGTGTCTCATGGTTTATGAACTTGAGCCCCGTGTCAGGCTCTGTGCTAACAGTGCAGAGCCTGCTTGAGATTCTCTATCTCTTTCTCTCTCTCCCAAAATAAATAAACATGAAAAGTCCTGGAAAACTGAGTTGGCACTGGTTTAATGGATAGTTTGCTTTCCTACCACTACATATTCCTCTCTAGTCACAGTTGTGTCTCTAGACACAGAGCCCAGATACCTTCCCAGCCTCAGGGAGATTTAGGCCATTCCTGTCCAGACAATTCTCTTGAGAATGAAGGGCAACCCAAGTCCAAGTTGCCATTCTGTTCCATAGTCTCAGCCTCAGAACTAACTGTTCTGACATGGTATGTTTTCATTGCTTCTCTCTGGAGGCCAGACATTTTAATGCTGGTACAACCCTTGACCACCTACTCTGAAGGGCAGAACACTGTAGAACCTATATGTATCATAACAGGGTTTATAGCAGTGATTGCTAACCTCTGGGCCAAGGACAGTGCCAGTCCATGATAAAGTGTTCATCCATCCAAGGTAGAAGGAGAGAAAGATAACATATGAAACATGAGTTTTCATAAACATAAGTTTATTCTGGGTTTATTCTCTTCATTTAGTGAAAATGTTTTCTGACTGATGAAATAATGGTGATGGTTGATGGTGGCTTTTAAAGAAATGGTCTTATTTGCCAAAATAAAAACTAACAACCCTCTTTGTAAAATTTTTTAGAAATTATTTGTATTGGTTCCTGAAATCCAGAAATTTAGAGTGATGATGGTGTGGCTATTGTATCATGTTGGGGGGCATGTGTTTATACAGTAATTCTGTATAACTTCTGTCTGACATTTGAAGAGCATTCATTTAATTTCACATTTCACTGGGTTTACATACTTTGTGAAGTAGGCAAGGGCAGGAATTCTGTTATAAATGAGGAATCATATTAGTAAACCAGAGGGCACATAGCATAAAGTGGCAAGGCTGAACCCAAAATTTGGTCTCCTGAGAGTGACTTAGGGAAAGAAGTTTTGTAACAGAGTGAAGGTGATGTGGACTAAAAGGCACGTTAAGTATGGGGAAGGTTGTGATGACATGAGGGCATTATACTGGCAAAAAGTGTTTTTTATCATTTGTAATTAATGTGGTTCCAAAAGAGATTAAAGATACTTTGAGGGTGACAGAGAGGTGGGGCTTCTGTTTCATAATTTGGCAATGACATGGGAACAGGTATACATAATACTTGGTTCACATTGTGATAGTAACAGGACAAGTCATGTCATCAGAAGGTTCTTGGGGACTATACAAATTCTTGGGTGTTCCAGAGAAAGTACTGAATTTGGTAAGCTGTGCTGAACTCTGTTGAAATAGTAGTGTAGTAAGTTCAATGGATTTTGACTTAGACATACTGGTGATAAGTCTGAGAAGATGTAACATAAGTGAGGGTGCTGATACCTAGTTAGACACATGTTTGGAGTGCTGTATGTAATCATTTATTCCACATCTGCTATTCACCAGGCACTCTACTAAGTACTGGGAGAACAAATTCATTCATTCATATATTCATTTATTTGTTTAGCAAATTCTTTTCAGTATGTAGTCCTTGTGACACTCCCATTATATGAGATAAAAAGATAGAGAAGACATGGTCCTCTGTGGTATTATAGAATTCTAAGTCAGGTTGAGAGAGATAGGTATGTGAAAAGACAAATTCAGTTTGGAGAAAGAGTGTGAAATACAGAAGTATATCATGATGGGGCGGTTACTTCTTTAGTCTTAATCTCTCCCTATGTCCAATCATATATATTCAGAGATCTACTGTATATCTCCACAGGGTCATAAATTAACATGTCTAGAACAGAACTCACTGTCTTTGCTCTGAGAACATGCTCTTGTACCATATACTGTATCTCAGTCCAGGCAAGGACTAAAGTGTCATCTTCATTCTTTCTGCTCCTTGATGGCCTGATTTAGTCAGTCACTAAAATCTTAAGGTTTCCCTTTAAATTATCTCTTCTTCATCTCTGTGGCTACATCTTCACTGTTAAAGCTTTAGTTTACTTCCTCCTCATCTCTGGTCTGGATTCCGCCTCCACTCCCAACCCCCAACAGTCTCCTGCCTTCAGCTTTGCTCTTTTCTAGTCTGTCCCTAGAATGATCTTTCTAAAAATACAAATGTAATCATGGAGCTCCTCACTTAAAAACTTTTGGCTCTTTGTGTTCTGTCGGACAACATCCAAATTGCTTAATATGGCATCATTTGGCCTCAGATCACCTCTCCAGCCTCATCTCCTGCCATTCCCTTCTTTGTGTTCTAGCTTGAATAAATTGTTCATAGTTCCTTAACATGTTACTTTTTTGAGGCTTGAGATCTTTGTAATAGCTTTTTCCCTAAGTAGGAACACTTTCTTTTCTGCCCAGTGAACTTCCTTTATTCTTTAGGATCTAGTTCAGTCTCTCTTCTTTTTGACATCTTCTTTGTCATCATCATCTAAGAGGGGTGGAGAGAGAAAGCACCATGTGTGACACAGGGATTCACTGTTGTAAAGGAGAGTCACCATGACTGAGGCCCACATTGTTGTGTAAGTCAGGTAAGATTCCCTGTAAGAAGCAGAGGTGGTACTGGGGAGAGAGGAGTGAGTGAGTTGGGACCACACATCGATAACACATTTGTCTTATACATATAGGCTGAAGGATGGACAAGCAGGGAGGATATATGTAAGCCGAGCTCTAGATTAGTAGGCTTCTGTGCAGTCTCCCCTCCTTTTGTATTCCTGTGAGGTTTTAACCAGATCTTTCCACTTTCAGTATTTACCGTAATAGCTCGTGCATACCTCTTATGTCAGTAATCAGTCATCTTGCCTGAGAAGAGTCATTGTAGGGAAAGAAAGCTCAGGACTTTACTGACCTGTTCGTGAAAGATCATTTTGATTTCTCCCTGTCTGCTGTAGGTGTTGCAGGTGTATCCCTACCTCCAGCTCCCTCCCTCTCTTGCCTCTCCTAGGGCAAAGGTTCCTCAGTAAAACTGAGTCACTTCCTGCCCTGTGTCTGCTATTCTGTGGTTGGTAGACACCCTTGCTGAATGTACCTGTAAGGCTTCATTTTGTGCCCTGAGTTGAGTGACTGAACTTGGCTGTTTGTGGGTCTGAAAGATCAGCTCTGTCTTCCCTCTTTTCTCCTGCAGGTGAGCCTGAAGGTAAATCTGGGAAGAGGGGTATGCTTTTACATAGACTTTGCAGTGGCAGGAAAGGGCACAGTAATAGGGTGGTGATTCCATTTTCTTTGTCTTGATTTTGAACTCTGCACGGTTAACAGGGAATGAGAGAGTCTTAAGTAGGTGACAGGAACACAAAGCTATGGTCTCATTTTGTATTTTTGCAGTTTGTGAAGGGGGCTCAGGTTAAGTGTTAGCTTCTGGGTTCTGAGACACTGATTTCAGTATGGCTCTTCTTTTTGAGATCTTTGAGAAGAGTTGGGGATGGGGAGGGATGAAGAAAGGTCTTGGAGGCTAGTCTCTCTTGAGTTTGTGAGCAATGCCCTTTGTTGGTCAAGTAATAAAGCGGAAGTGGGCTTTCCAGTTATATTGCGAGGTAGGAATTGGTCGTTAATCTTTGGAAATGAGTCCTAGGAGCTAAAGGCAGTTTAGTTTTGGCCATGATAAAGCTTTACTTTGCTGAGACTGGATGTTTGGCTTGTCTTCTACTCACCAGGATAGGAGTGTGAAGTGGTGAGGATGGACAGGTCAGAGCAGGTTAGATCTTGCCTCTCAGTCAGAGGTGAGGATACCTTGGTCAGATCGGATCAGGAGAGGGAAGGGGCAAAGGAAAATGCCATTTACAGAGCACCTGCTTTATATGCTTGGTGTGCTACGTATTTAATTTTTTTTACATACATTATTTAATTTTTAAAACAGTAACAACACTTATTTGATCACGAATTTATAGATATGGAAACTTGAGGCTCCAATGTGTGAAGTGATTTTTTTAAGGTCACGCAACTGGAAAATGGTGGACTGAGATTCAAACCTTTCTTTGAGGGACATTGGAGCTCCTGCTTTACCTACTACTTTGTGTTACTCTTACTTGACCTTAGGGCCTCTATTTACTTTCAGTGCTCAAATGAGATATGATTGAGAAAGCATTCTGTAAGCAGTAATAAATACTCTTCTATCATTCAGGGTCCTCATGGGGGCAGTTTGAACACATTTGGTTTGGTAAGAATTTAATAAAGGGATTATAGGGTATAGGCAGAGTTTAAGGAAACCAACAAGGGATAATGCAGTATCCCAGGGCTAATAACAGTGAGAAAGCTAGTAGAAGAGGACATTTCTTATTAGTATTCTCAACTGTTGGCTTTGCCTTCCCCGTCCCCTGCTTATTTGGTACCTTCGGTACTTGGGCAGACAAATAAGTACCTCTTCAGTACATCCCTGCTGCTGGTAGCTCCCAGTCTGTATGACTGGTTGATGATTTATAGGAAACCATGTGTGCAAGACTGATCATCTCTTCTGTGCCTCTACCACCTTCTCACCCCTACCTCTTCTTCCCCACCCCCACTCTTTTGGGGGAGTGAGTGAGAGAAGATTAGGTAGGTGGTGGGGTGGTGGTAGATATTAGCTTCCCTTTTTCAGATTTCAGATTTACCTGAACTGGCACCCATCTTTTATTACTATTTTCCTCCTCAGAGAATTGATATACTTCTTTTTCTCAGACTAGTCCTATACCTGATTTTTCTGTCTATTATCCCCATCCTGTGTATCCACAGCCTGTTACTTTCTTCTTAGTTCTTTTCCTCACTTGACAAACAGCCTTGAGGCTCCCCATCCTAAAATAAAGCAAAACCAAACAAGAAAAACTCTTTTTTTCTTGACTTCCCACCTCCAACCCCTCCTAGTTTCTTTAAGCTGTTGCCCTGTTTGCATCCTTCTGTGTTACTGACTTTCCTGATAATTGCATTTTACATTTCTTTGGCTCCTAGTAGTTCTTTTTTAACTAATTACTTTCCTAAGTTTATTGAAAACTTGATTGTTAAAACTGACTGTTTCAGTCTTCATTCTACTTAGTCTGTCTGTAGACAATACCTTATGGCAATCTCTAGTTTCTTGAAACTTCCATTCCTTGATTTCTAGATTATCATTATTTCTTGGATTTTTCCTTTCATTTCTGACTACCTTCACAGTCTTCAAAAACACCTTGTCTTGTTTTCCTAGTTCCTCGTTTTCCCCAGAATGTCACCCTTGGTTCCTTTCAGGATCTGCTGATGTCTTTGGATGATTCCGTCCCTCTCCATAGCTTCATTTACCACCAATTAGTTGTTGACTCCTGGATGTGTGTCCCTAGTCTTGATTTCTCTCTTGAGCTCAAGTATTGTATTTCTGTTTGCTTTCTGGACATCATGGATATCCTATAGGTGTCTCAAAGCCTAACATATCCAAGACTGTATTCATCCTTTTTTCTAAAACACTGCTCGCTTTGTTATGTGTTCCTTGCCTGTTAAGCATCATCTTTTACTGAATCTCTTATGTTTCATATCTGAGTCTTCTCTTATCCTCCATTCATTTATCAGGTCTTGTTGCTTCTACTTCATCCCTACATTAAATGTGGAGGCAGATTATCTGCATTTGCATTCCAGTCTTGCTACTTATTAGCTGGCTAATTTTACGGTATATTTAACCTTTTTCGGCTTTGATTTTCTTATGTGTAAAATGGAGGTAACAGTAGTACATTTAGAGGTTTACTATATATGCTACTTAGAATAAAGCCTGGCACATAGTAAGTGCTCAATATATGTTAGCTGTAATTAGTTTTAATTTAGCGTTCAGTTACACAAGCATTTCTGAATGCCAGGCACAGTGTTGGCACTGTAATTGCAAAGAATGAATGATAATGGTCACTTCTGACGGAGGTTGGTGTTATTGGCAGAGATGTTACAGGTGTAAATAATTTTATTATCATGTGGGACATGCTAAGATAAAGGTGAATCTCAGATTTATCTTTTCTAATCCTGCTCTTACCACCTTATTCATCTGCCATGTGACTCTCTCTGCTCCACCGTATTATACCACAATCTGACATATTTTTAAAGGCAAATTTGATCTTGTCATTTCCTTGTCTAAAAAATCTTTTTTTGTTTCTGGGGTGTCAATAGATAAAACGCAAACTCATTAGCCTGATTCAGTACTGATTATAACCTTCACCTATATTTACCCTTCAACTCCATATTGTTTCTCTTTTTTCTAAGTAGTCTGTGATTATGCCATCCCAAACTTGGAACTGTTTTTCAAATTTGTGATGTTCTTTCATAGTGCCATATTTTTTTACATACTGGTTTTTTTAATTAAAAGAATTTTTATTAATGTTTAATTTTGAGAGACACTGAGTACTAGCAGTAGAGTCACAGAGAGAGAGGGAGACACAGAAGCAGGCTCTAGGCTCTGAGCTGTTAGCACAGAGCCAACATGGGGCTTGAACCTACGAACCATGAGATCATGACCTGAGCCAAAGTCAGACCCTTAACTGACTGAGCCACCCAGGTGCCTCTGTACATAACTGTTTTTAGTATGAAGGCCTTTTCCTCTGCTCTCTTTGTTGCCAATATCTCAGTTGTTAAAGATTTAAGTTAGAAGTCCTCTCTTTTCTGAAATCCTGTTACAGTCTTGCAGGCAGAATTACTTGTTTTCTTTCAGATCCCTGTGACACTTTTGTAAATACCTCTGTTTATAATACTTCTTGGAGGTTTTGTTTATGCTCCCCTCCAACCGCTTTTATCTGTCTTTGTATTTGCATTGATTATTTTGTGGAGCACTTCATACATATCAGTATGTATAGTGAGTGAGCCCTGCCTGCTGTTTAGGTTTGGCCTGCCCTTTATAAGACTGTCTCCTATTCTACAGAAGGTTTCCTTAAGTATAGTTGCTACCTTCCTTTAGTTGTGAGTTGGTGGTTATGGTAAGAGAGAGTATCTGGGTGGAAGGGATGGTGGTAACATAACCCAAGGGCTAAGTGTGGGGCTGTTGCCAGGTCTCTGGGTTCCTTCGGCCTTTGTTGAGCTTAAAGAGGAAGGACAACTGAACCACGCCTTTCCTCTGAAGTTTTTTTTACTTGTGAGAGATAATACTGCTGAGGGGGTGAGGGGTGTGATGGAGAAGGAGCTGTGAGCCATGGTCTAGGCCAACAGCTATTTTGGTACTTTTTCCCTTTCCCTAGTGAGGGTGTCATGTCATATCCCCAGGAGTGAGTGTTGGCTCTATCTGGCAGGAGTGGGGTATATGTGTGTTTTTGGGAATGTGTCCCTATGTTTGTTGCTGGAATGAAAATTGTTCTGCTCTTTTGGTTGGCTCTGGATTTCTACCACTTAAGAGTGTTCAGCTAGTTAAGGGTCTCTTGGGTTATTTCCTACTGGGTGGGCTTCTAGGACTGTGATAGGTAGAAAAAAATTTCTTCCTCAGTAGTCTTAGAGGGTTGGAGTCAGATCAAGATTGGGTTCCTCCCTCCCTCCCTTCCTTCCTCCCTTACTCCTTTCCTACCTTCCTTCCTACCTACCTTCCTTCCTTCCTTCCTTCCTTCCTTCCTTCCTTCCTTCCTTTTATTTTTAAGTAATGTCTGTACCCAGTGTGAGGCTGGAACTCACAATCCTGAGACCAAGAGTTGCATACTCTACTGACTAAGCCAGCCAGACACCCAAGACTGGGTTTCTTGTTCCTTCATTCATTTGTTTATTCATTCATTTCCTTAAGCATTCATACATTCAGCAAATATTTACTGACTCCCTAGGTATTGCTCTAGGTACTGGGGATACAACAGTAAACAAAATACACAAACCTTGCCTTCAGCGAGCTTACATTCTGGTGGAAGCTAGACAAATAAATAAACAAATAAATATTTTTAGATAGTGAAAACTGCTAAGAAGGAAGGAAGATTAGGAAGCTAGAGAGTGAAGATGGGAAGGTGTACTATTTAGATATTATTAAGTAAGGCCTCTCTGAGGAGACAGCTTTAGAAAAAAATGGAATGATATGAACAATGTGAAGATTGAGGGAAGAGCACTCCAGGCCCAGAGAATAGAGAGTATTCTAGAAGGCCTGCATGAGTAAAGTATGAGTGAGGAGGAAGATGGTAGGAAGTTAATACAGATTAGATCATAAAGTACCCAGAGGCCAAGGTAAGGAATTTGGATTATTACTAATGTGATGGGAAATCACTGGGGGGTATTCAGGAGAAGAGACATGTAACATAAGTTAGGTTTTAAAAATATCACTCTGGTTACTTCGTGTAGAATAGACTGTCAGGGGAGGAGGAAGCAAGTCTGGAAGCATGGAGACAAGATTGGAGGTTATTGCAATAGTAAGACGTGCTTTGAGGGTATAGGTGATAGCGTTTGCTGATAAACTGGACATTGAAATTAAGGAAAAGAAGGAAAGAGGTTGATGCCCACGTTTTTGGCCTGAACATGTAGGTGAATGTTGGTATCTGTTCTTGAGATGGAGAAGGCTGGGAAGAGTGACAGGTTTGGTGGTAGTTCTGTTTTAAACACATTACACTTAAGATGCTTTGTGTGTACATATGTGTGTGGACGTTTCAGTGGTTTGGTGGCTCTGAGTTCTTCCTGTTGGGGAATGGAGAGAGGCAAACTCCTGTTCATCTTTTCCTTTTTCTTTCTCTTTGAATTAGATTTGCAGGTCTGGACTGCGCCGTGATCTCTGGGTTCACTATTCCAGCCTGGTGTATCTTCTGGCTCCATGGCCAGCTACTGGTTCCTGCAGACCGGATGAAGCAGACTAGAGACACAAGTGGAGAAAGCTGCCAGCTGGCAAATTCTCAGAGTGTGGCCCTCTGGCCACTGGCCCTGCCCAGCCTGCCTCATGGAGAGGATGAACTGGCTGAGCAGATTGGCCTCCCGGGGCCCTGGGCACCGTGTACCTCAGGGGTCCAGTCTGCAGACCCCTGTCATGGCTGACCCTGAGACCTGCCTCATGGTCTTCAAGAATCACTGGTCCCAGGTAGGAGATTCTATGCCAGATGGCCTAATCCACTGGCTGCCTGAGTTCTCCTAACCTTCTGTTCTCTCTCACCATCCCATTTAGTCATCATATCATCTTAGATTCCTTCTATCTTCTGTTTCTCCAGGTAGTGCGAATCCTGGAGCGGCAAGGCCCTCGGGCAGCTCCTGGAGGTGCAGATGATCTCAGTGCTGTGCGCAACCACACTTACCAAATGTTGACACTGCTGGTAGAAGATCGTGCTGTCCCCTCAGCCCCCATGGCCCCTGGGCCCTTGCTGGAATTTGCTTTGCGTGAGGACCTGCTAACCCGTGTGTTGGTTTGGCAGCTTCAATGGGATGAGCTTGGGGACGGGGTTGAGGAACGGCGGGCTGAGCAACTGAAGCTGTTTGAGATGCTAGTGAGTGAAGCTCGCCAGCCACTACTGCGACATGGTCCAGTTCGTGAGGCTCTGCTGACCTTGCTGGATGCCTGTGGCCACCCTGTGCCCAGTAGCCCAGCACTGGATGAAGGCCTGGTGCTACTTCTTAGCCAGCTGTGTGTATGTCTGGCCCGGGAACCTTCATTGCTCGAGTTCTTCCTGCAGCCACCTCCTGAGCCTGGAGCTGCCCCCCGCCTTCTCCTCTTTTCTCGCCTCGTTCCCTTCGTCCATCGAGAGGGCACGCTGGGCCAGCAAGCCCGTGACGCCCTACTCCTGCTCATGGCTCTGTCGGCCGGGAGTCCCACTGTGGGCCGCTACATTGCAGATCACTCTTACTTCTGCCCGGTCAGCACCTCCTGGGATGGGGGGTGGGCTATGGTATATAGACACTGGACAGCACCTTGCTGTTCAGAAGATGTGGAGGGGCTATGTACTGAATTCTTTTCCTTTAGGTGTAGTCCCCTGGGTTTGAAAACAGTACCTGGAGTTGGGGTGGGGATGAAACATGGGCTTAGGTGGACAGAATAGGTAGTAAGGTTCTTCATGGGCCAGTGTTCCCAGGTGATGTCCTGGCACATTGGGTAACTAAATACCTGCTTGGGGAATAGCTCTTTCCCTCACTCCCATCAAAACTCTGAGTTAATGGCTCCCCTGGTTCCCTTTTATATGTTGTCTGAGCTTTTGGTAACCTGTTCTTGGGGATGGCCCCCAGGTGCTGGCCACAGGGCTGAGTGCCCTGTACTCCTCACTGCCTCGCAAGATTGAGGTTCCAGGGGATGATTGGCACTGCCTGCGACGGGAGGACTGGCTCGGGGTGCCAGCCCTTGCGCTCTTCATGAGTTCCCTAGAATTCTGCAATGCAGTCATTCAGGTGGGATTGCACTTCCCAGGAGGTCTGGTCCTTTGTCATTCTGGGGAGATGGGGTGGGAAGGGGCCACATTCCCTGGAGTTTTGCTATTTTGCCATCTTGGGGGTGGGGTGCCTGCTTGCACCATTCTATTCTCTTCCAGACAGTGGCCACCTCACATTCCTCCTTCTTCTCTCTTGCACCCCTACAGGTGGCTCACCCTTTGGTGCAGAAGCAGCTAGTTGATTATATCCATAATGGGTTCTTGGTGCCTGTCATGGGCCCTGCCCTGCATAAGGTGAGAGTTATGGGTGGCAAGGCTGAGGGGTGGTGATCCCAATCCCAAGACCAATGTGGGAGGCAGTGGGCTGGGTACTGCTCCCCTTTTCCTTGCCTACTCCTGGTTTCTTCTTAGAGCTCAGGGAAAATAACTCAGTACATGTATAGGGAAGCCCTAAATTTCCAAACTTTCCTTCCCCTTCATCCAGACCTCTGTGGAGGAGATGATCGCCAGTACCGCCTACCTGGAGCTTTTCCTACGGAGTATCTCAGAGCCTGCTTTGCTCCGTACCTTCCTGCGATTCCTGCTGTTACACCGGCATGACACCCACACCATTCTTGACACCCTCGTTGCCCGTATTGGCAGCAACTCCCGGGTATGGCCCCTACCTCTGTCCTGGCTTACCTGGGTGAGCCATCTTCTCTCTCTGACCTTTGTTCTGGGAGGGTGTGCCTGCCCTTCTTTGGCCTTTGTCTCCAGCAGTCACTTTAAAGTGAGGTGGCATTTACTTTCCATTATTAAACTTTTGACCACTTTGGGAGTAGATTTTTATCTACTCCCTTGTTTTTTAATATAGGAATCTAGAACACAAGTTATTTTTTCTGGATAACTGGCTGCTTATCATGACCAGGGGTTTTGCCATTGTGCTATACTTGTGATGTAGCACTGGCCTGGGGTTCTCTTCAGTTGTGTATTGTACTGTGGCCTGCTGTGGGTGACTCGAGATCACTTCTCCAGGTTTTGCATTTGCTTTGATAGGTAACCCAGCTGTTACTGGTATGCTTAGATTTTTTTTCCCTTTGGATTTGCCGCATTTGAACTGCTGTAACTTGGGGCACCTATCTCCCCACTTACCTACTTAAACTTTCCTTCCTCCTGAACATTTTTACTGAATGTTCACTATGGGCATTACTATTTTCTCCTATTAAGGATAAGTGGTAAACATGGTAGACATAGTTGCTGGCTTCGTGGAGCTTTCTTCATAGAGGAGGTAGATACACAAACCCGTTAATAAAATAATTGAAAATTGTGGTCACTGTTATGAAAAAACCAAACAGGGTGATTAGAAAGTAATAGAGTGGTCAGAGGGGACATTGAACTAAGATCTAAAGGTCACAAGGTAGTTCACCTATTGAGGAACAAGTGGAAGAAGAGTCTGGGCAGAAGATGCAGCTTGCAAGGTACCTGAGATGGGGATGAACTGAATGTATTTGAGGAAGTGAAAGACCAGTAAGATTGGAGGTACAGTAAGAAAGGGGGAGAAGGGAATGAGGTGAAAGTAGAGAGGTAGGTAAGATTCAGTCATGCATGGCCTTGTAGACCATGTTAAGCAGTTCGGATTTTAATCAGTAGAAATATGTATGAAATAGGAGTAAGTAGTTGCCAAGTAATAAAGACCCAGAGTCTTTCTAGGGAGATAAAGCATTCGCTTAGTCATGAACTTTAAACCATTTATTTAGCTCTGGAACTATCCTTGTTTCCTTCTTATAACAAATAATTGAAGTTCCCTGGGTCCTTGTATTTAAAATAGAAGTTCTTAGATTACTAAAGGTTCTGGAAAACTCTTGAAGATCATTGAGATACCTTGAGGTACCTGGTAGCAGGCCTCTCAATAGGTGAGGTTTTGGGATAGCTCTTTTGTGTAAGTGAGGTTTCTGAATAACAAAGGGTATGGATGAAGTATTCTACACTGACTTTGATTAGACCAGTGTTTCTGAAGAAGGTGCACACTTCAGGATTTGAAAATGGCAACAGCTATAACAGTTTCTAGGCTCTCAGCCTTAGATCTCTTAGATTGTAATATGCAGGGCATGTGTATTTTTATAATATTCCAAAAAGTTCTCATAATACATGCCCGGGTTAGTTAAGAGTTATTGGCAAAAATCAGTAGGGAATAGATGTCAAATTTTAATTTTTCAAAGATATCAATTTCTCATGCTGAAGTTAGATCATTGTCCTCTATCTATTTACCTGATGGAATGTCCTGTTCGTATTTTGAGACAGTTAATTTATTTCTTGAGGTTTATTTTTTTTTTTTTCCTATGTTGGCCTCTATCCATGTTGCTTTTGTCTTAATCGTATCCTCACTTCTTCAATTCTCTTTCATTGTGTTTAGTCTTTAGTATTTAATTTTATTAGTCCTCTGGTCTCAGGAGCCTTCTTGTTCTTGAGTTATTTCTTCTTGGTTCCTGCTTCTTGGAGGACCAGATTGCTTCTGATGTCAGGCTGCCTGTGTTAAACATGCAGTGGCTTTCCTTTCTACTGTTTGGCCTTTTTAGACTTGATTCTGTTGGCCTGACTTTGAACTTCTTTAAGCTTGTCGTTTATGGCTTAAAGTGAATCATGCTGGATAGTCAGTCTGTGTGCCTGACTATCTGTTTTAGTTTCCCATTGCTGTCATAACAAATCACCACAAACATAGTGGCTTAAAACACACAAATTTATTATGTTATATTTCTGTAGGTCATACTCTGACCCAGATCTCATTAGGTTAAAATCAAAATGTTTGTCAGGGCTGTGTTCCTTTCTGGAGGCTCTAGGAGTGGATCTGTTTCCTTGCTCAGTAGGGTTGCTGGTAGAATTTATTTCATTGCAGTTCTAGGACAGATTCCCGTGTTCTTCCTGGCTGTCAGCTAAGGACCATCCCAGATTCTAGAGGCCAATCAAATTCCTTGGTTTGTAGCCTCCTTCTTTTCCTCCTCAGAGCCATCATTGGTGGATCAAGTCCCCTCAAGCTTCAGATTTCTTTTTGACCCAGCTGGAAAAGGTCTTCCGCTTCTAAGGACTCAAGTGATTTGATTGTACCTTCCTGGATAATCTGTGCTACTCTTCCCACCTCAAATTTCTTAACCATAATCATATCTGCAAAGCACCTTTTGTCACATAAGGTAAAATACTTGCAGTTCTGGAAATTAGGACTTAGACATCTTTGGGGGGGTCCATTTTTCTACCTACCACACAACCTTTCAGTGAGTGTGGATGTTTTCATTGCTAGTTAAAATGGTCATTTAGGGTAAATCTGAACATCCATGCAAATATCCAAATATCTGAGCTGCTATCTCATTTCTTTCCCATTGCAGTTGGCTTTTAATCCTCCCACAGTTTTTTAGTAAATAATGAGCACCTAGACTGTGCAGGGTGCTCTGGCCTAAGACCCATTAGTTGTTTCCAGGGAGCTCCAAGTATACCTGCCATAAGGGAAGTAGAGAGAAAGTGCTGTGGGGATTCAGAGGAATGAGGGAGTGCTTACTTATGTTTGTTCTCTTCCACTCTCTTTGCCTAGCCAGAGAAGAACCACCCTTCTTATTTTCTAAAACAAATGGTTTCCTCTATTCTGGACCCACCTATTTTTTCCTTTTCCTGTCAGCTGTACTTGAGCTTCTCTTTCTTCTACCTTCTGAGAGATACATCAGTGTTGGGGAGGTGACTCAGACTCTGTGTTCACAGCCCCGCCCACTTCCCAGCTGGGATTCTTCCAGGTTCCCTCTGGTTTCTTGTTGGTAGGCATTTAGTTACTATGCAGCCAGCCACAGTCTCTGCTGACAGGCATTCACTTAGTTATCATATTGTGGCTGTCATTCTGTTAGTCATTCACTCAGTCCCAGTATTTCTTAGGGTCTTTCTTCATGGGTATTCATTCCATTACATACTGTTGGAATCTTTGCTGACAGGGGTATGTAGCCAGAGAGTCTGCTGACATGTGTGTATGGTCTGTAGAAATACAGAATCTGACACATGGTTCATTCCAATCTGAATAGTGATGTCTTGCCTATAAAGATCATGTGATCATTTATTTACTACTTGAATGATTATTATGTGCCAGGCCTTGTGCACATGCTACTCTAGGTAGGAGTGGTTGGTTGGGCCTGGGGCTGGGAGGGTTCCCATTTGGTAAACATCTTGGTGGGTAGAGAGCTCTTATGGTGACTCCCTCCCTCCTCCCCCACCCCCCCAGCTCTGCATGGTCTCTCTGAGTCTCTTCAGGACCCTACTGAACCTCAGCTGTGAGGATGTCCTGCTGCAGCTGGTTCTCAGGTACCTGTGGGGGCAGGGCTGAGGGATGGCTGATCCTGAACTCTCAAGGCCTTGTGCATTGCTGGGCAATGGGTTGTATTGGGGTTGCTCATGTGGAGCATGGCTTAGCCATGTAGTTCCATTGGCCTCATGTTCTCCCAAGTCCTATCCTTCCTTTCTGATCTATCCTGTGCCCCTTTTTCTGCTTTCCCAGGTATCTTGTCCCATGTAACCATGTGATGCTGAGCCAGAAACCAGCTGTACGTGATGTGGACCTATATGGACGAGCTGCGGACAAGTTTCTCTCCCTTATCCCACGCTGTTGCCGGCATCGTGCCCATAGCCCACCCCATCCAGAGCATGCCTCATGGGCACGAGGTGGGCCTAGCAGAGAGGCAGGGAGAAGGGAGGACACCACGGGTATGGCCTGTGTTCTGGGGAGCCTAGCAAGAAGGTGGGGTTAGGGTGGGGTGGGGGAGACAGCCATGAGTGGCATTTCCATCTTTGAGGAGGTCGATGCCTTAACTCCACCAAAGAAATTTAGTTCTGAGCACGGCTGCTCCTTTTCTTCATTCCAGTCATATATTGTTTCTATTTTCCATTGTTTCTTTGGCGTTGGGGGTGGTGAGAGGCGGTGGTGGATACAGAAAAGCTTAATTTAGAGGGTGGAGAATCAGCTGCCTAAATAGGTCACATGTCTTTGCTGCTTCACTGCCTTCTCTCTTAGTCTCCCTAGGTGCCTTCTTCCTCCTCCTGGCCCTCTGTCTCTTTGATTCCTCTTATGTTTTTTTTCCCTCTGTAGGCCCTGGAAGCCCAAGTGTTGACTCCTCTTCTGTGGTGACAGTACCCCGGCCCTCCACACCATCTCGTCTGGCCCTCTTCCTGCGACAGCAGAGTCTGGGTGGCTCGGAATCCCCAGCTCCAACCCCTCGCTCACCAGGGCTTGCTGCATCCCCAGCCTCCAGCCCTGGCCGACGGCCCAGCCCTGTGGAGGAGCCTGGTGAGCTGGAAGACAATTACCTGGAGTATCTGCGTGAGGCGCGCCGTGGTGTGGACCGGTGTGTCCGAGCCTGCCGTACCTGGTCTGCCCCCTATGATGGCGAGCGGCCCCCTCCTGAGCCCAGTCCTGTTGGCTCCCGGACTAAGAAACGCAGCCTACTGCCTGAGGAGGACAGGGACAATGTGGGGGAAGGGGAGGAGGAAGAGCTGGGGTGTGGAGGGCTTGCTGGGGGTGCAGGGGAGGGCCTCCACCTGCCCCCTCCCCAGCTCAATGGGGTGCCAGGACCATGGCCTGAGGGGGCCAAGAAGGTTCGTCGGGTGCCTCAGGAGGGGGCTGGGGAACTGCCAGAGAGCACCTCTGAGGGCATGGCAGGACTAGAGGGCTTTGGGCAGGAGCTCCGGGAACTGGAGGTGGCATTGAGCAATGGTGGGGCTGGCTCAGAACCCCCACTAGAGCCTTCACTACCTCTTGAGGAGGAGGAGGCCTATGAGAGCTTCACCTGTCCCCCTGAGCCCCCCGGCCCCTTCCTCAGCAGCCCTTTGCGGACGCTCAACCAGCTGCCAAGCCAGCCCTTCACTGGTAAGCTACTTAGCCTAGGCCTTGCCCTTTGCATACTCTCTGCATGTATTCGACATGTTTGTGCTGATTTCTGAGACTTCTTGTCCATGTCATTTCCGTATACTTGCCTAGCTCCTCATCCATTTTGCTTGGATCCCTTCCAGATACATGTCATACTCGTGTCTCTGTGTCTGTCTATACGTCTTCCATGCTTGTGCTGGTTTGAGTATTAATTTATGTCTGAGCCTTGTATGTTCTGTGTGCATGTTCCTTCTCTTCCCCAGTCTGGCCATTTCCTGGGATTGTGATCAGGATGTGTTTAGTGTTTCCTAGTGAATCACAGCAGTATATCAGAAAAATATATATGGAGGACATATGTGGTGTCCTGTATATGAGGCACCTGTAAGCCATGCTGTTCCCACCAGTATATTTGTCTGGGTGTTGGGTCTCCTGTCAGCTTTTCTGTGGCCCAGGATCATCTCTTCTGGAATTCTTCCCCTACTTTTCCCTGGCCTCCTTTCTTCTCCCAGTCTCTTTAGAGAAGGACTCAATTTCAGGTTTTTCCTGTCCTTTGTCCTTGTACCTTGTTGGTTGATATGACTATTCAGTAAAACTTTCCTAAAGACTTATGTTTAGTAGTAAGGACTGAACCAGATAGAGTGAAATACCTCTTAGAAGGCAAATGACAGAAGTGTAGCTCTGATCTCCCCGACTGAGTTCTTTTGGTCTTTCTAAAGACCCTGGAGCTAGACCTGCCTGAGTGGCTAGGCTAACTCCTCTTTGGTTTTATTTGAGAGCCAGCTTTACCATCCCATTTCTTATCTGGTTCTTATCGTTACTCTAGAGGAACAAACAAACAAACAAACAAAATACACCACCTCTGAGAAGCAGTGTCTAGACACACCTTGAGTTAGTGTCCCTCCATGTCATTGACACGTGTAAACCACTTATTATGACGTTGGTACCTTGGGAGAACTCAGCACGTGGTAGCTCTTTACTAGAATTATCATCTTTTGGGTGCATAGCAGATATAAGTTGACCAAGGTATCCACTCATCTTCTGGTTGTTTGTAGTCAAGTTACCATACCTTGATCAGCATGTGTCCTAGCTGGGCCTGGCATATACTGCCATCCTGCTTGCACAGCATCGAGGCTTCTGCTCGAGTCATGACAACTCCCTATTGCAGACTACAGAGAATGTCTTTCCAGTTATTTAGGCTTTGCTTCTTCCTGCTCAGTATCACTAGAAGGTGGTATGCAGGTTTTACCACATTCTTGAAACATTAATTGAAGCCGTGTCTCTTTTCTTCTTTGTAAACTCCTCTGAGCTTTTTGCATTTTCTCATGCAAGAAAGTCTCAGGAAATGAAGAGAAACAGAAGGACAGAATTATGGGGTATCTTAGGACTCTGTTAAACTAGAGTTGTATGGAGCTAAGGCCAGTCATGCACATTTGGAGTGGAGAATGTTCTAGGATCTTTTTTGGAGTTCACTGCCTCTTTTCCTTTCAGCGTTTTCCTGTCTCGGTTCATGGTGCAGTTCTTAGGTATAATCCCTTTCCCTTACAGATCACTGGTTAGACTTATGGTTCTAGAGTCCTCATGCTGGTGAACTGGCTCACTTGAGGCCAGTTCTCCTAGTAGATTCTAACCCCTTCTGTTATCCTCTCACTCAGCAAAGAGTCTTCTCTGAACAGTTTTCTCTGGCTCTGAACTAAACTTTTTCCTAGATTCTCTTCTACCTTCTTGATTGCCAGTTCTTGAACAAAGCTGATTTCTTCTTTGGAGCTTCCAGAGATTTCTCCCCTTATCTTTAAGTTAACCTGTGCAGTTACCTTTGTCTTTGTTATAGTTCATCCTTGCTTTCTTTCTGATCCGGATGTAGTGTTATCCTGTCTTATGTGTAACCTGATTCTTCTTTTGGTCCTAATCACTTTCTTGCTTGTTCTTTCTTCTGTTAATGTCTCTTGGGTGAAATTTTTTAAAACACTGAGAGATGCTACGTAGCATAAAGTTATTACCGAAAACTTATAATTTGCTGTGTCTTGGGCTCCTGCTTTATAAGAATATTTCTTTGATCCTTTTAATAACCTTGTGAGGTGGGTGTATTTTATTTTGTTAAGTAGGACACTATGCTTAGAGAATTTTGATTCATCCAGCAACTTAACTAGTAAAGGATAAAGCTGGAGTTTGAAACCAGGTCTTTCTGAGTCCAGAGCCAATCATCTGGCTCTTCATCTTGAGTGTGTAGCTTGCATGTGGACTCTTAGGTCTACGTGGTATCTGCCATTTCATCTCCTCTAGATTAGGTGATCACAGGATACTTAAACATACCCAGACACCGATACACAAATGATTTTTGTCTAGTTGCGGGGGGTCTCTTGGTTTTGGGAGGAATGCGTGCAATGTGCATTCTGTTCAGGCCTTGTATCCTTGTGCCCACCCTCCCCAGGCCCCTTCATGGCTGTGCTCTTTGCCAAACTCGAGAACATGCTGCAGAACTCCGTCTATGTCAACTTCCTGCTGACGGGGCTGGTGGCCCAGCTGGCCTGTCACCCCCAGCCCCTGCTCCGCTCTTTTCTGCTCAACACCAACATGGTCTTCCAGCCCAGTGTCAAGTCCCTGCTGCAGGTGTGCGATGCATGCATGCATGGGTGCGTCCAGGCTCCATGGTGGGCCAGGCCCACAGCTGGAGTGACCCTGGGGGGGCTGGGAACAGGCCCAGTGGGATTAGAAAGGACCGTCAGTCTAGAGCCACACAGAAATGTCATGAAGTTGTGCTTCATAGGTGCTGGGTTCTGTGAAGAATAAAATTGAGAGCTTTGCAGCCTCCCAGGAGGACTTCCCAGCACTGCTATCCAAAGCCAAGAAGTACCTCATTGCCCGTGGCAAGTTGGACTGGGCCGAGGGCCCTGCAGCAGGACCTGCCCCCCGCCGCTCCGATCCCCTAGGTGAGGCCTACCCCACCCCTCCGGTCCTCTTCCTACCTTCCTTAGATAGCTAATTAGCCCAGGTTAATTGAGCTCTTATTAAGGGTAAAGCCTTGTGCCATGAACTGAGGAGCTGTAGGAAAATTGAGTCTTGATGTTTGTCCTCTGGCTTCTGGTCAGGGGATAAAATATAGTGTGTCCACTAAGAGCCAAATCAGCAGCACTAGCAAAAACTGCTGAAAGAGACAGGCAAGGGGACTTGAGGGATTGTTACAGTTTGGGAATAGGCATGGCATTTGACATGGTCCTTGAGAGATAGATAGGACTTGGGTAGTCAAAGGAGTGGGATGGCTTTATTCTTTTGTCCAGGGGACAGCACGAACTATTTTGCTGGAGTAGAGGATTTGGAAGGTGGTAGAGCAGTTGGCAGTAAGGCTGGAAAGATTTGGCCAGAGCCCAGATTAGGTTCTCAGATTAGGAGTTGGGCTGGGTAGAAGTTGTGATCTTTTGGGCAGTAAGAACCCATTGGAGGTTCTTAGATATGAGAGTAGAGAGATAAGCAAATTAGTTCATGTGCTAAGTGAATTGGAGCCAGGAGAAAATAGTCAGGAGGCTTCTGCTGAAATGTAGATATGACCTGCAAGGCTTGAATTAGAATAGTGGAAACAGAAAGGAAGAATTTGATAACGTGGGAATGAAAAGGAAGTCTTGGCAGAGTTTGGTGAATGGTTGTGAAGTACAGGGAAGAAGAAAGAGTTAAATGTGACCATGCAGTTTTAAATCTAGATCTTCCATCCGTAAGTGTCTGAGCATTTGCCATATGTCCTAGCCATTGTCTTTGGTACAGGCTACTCAGAGAGGTACAAGATGAGACCTCTGCTTTTAAAGAGCTGCTAGTCAGTCTGAAGAGTGACTAAAGAAATGTAATAAATGGGAAAATGGGAAAGCAAGGTCCCAAAGGTGGTGGAAGTAGTGGGATCCAGTGCACCAGGAAATGAGGATAGATCAAAGGAGGAAGTGATACATACTCATGGAGTTGTAAGGCGTAGAGGGAAAGGTCAGGAAATTGAAGTCCTTTATTTGCTCATCAAAGTAGGAAGCAAAATAATATGCTAAAGCAAGAGAGCAGGGGTGAGATGGAGGTATGAGAGATGTGAATTGGGAAGACAGTACCAGAACGGTTATTATACAGCTGTGCAGACCCAGCTGACATTCCTTAGCAGGATTTTCTCATGGTACAGCACTTTGAATATGTCTTATTTCCATAGTACTAGCACTGGGATCACTGTAGAAGTAAATAAGAGTCTAAGCCCTTGAACTCACGGATTACTATATGAGATAGAAGACCTATAAACTATAAACAGGTTATTACAGTACAGTGTGATAAAGGCAGTGAAATGGGAAGTCAGTGGAGGGCAAATCAGAGGTTTCTGAGGGGTGGGGATAATAAGATTAGGCCAAGGGTGATGAAAACAGTGGGAAGAGCAAAATTAAGGCCTAGAGGGCTATGGAAGTATGAAAGGAGCCTGGAGGGTTCCAGGAAGAGCAGATGTGTGTGGGTGCAAAAGCAGGGGAGGATGTAAAGAGTTTGGAGAAGGGTTAGAGGGGGCAGGTGAAGGGTTCTGAATGTGAGGGGTTCTGAATGCCGTATTTAGTAGGCCTGTGCAGCGTATCTCTCTAGCCAATATTAGAGATAGAGAGTGGGAACTATAACATGATTAGAGACTACCCTAGAGTCTAGGCCCTAGAGATGGGTGAAAGATGCAGAGACAGGAAGCTAGGAAGAAAATTAGAGGAGAGATGGCAGTATTTTAAGTGGTTCATTTGAGTCTAAGCGAGGTGAAGTTTGTCTGGCCATATGAAGTTGTCTTCACTGACATGAAGTAGGAGTAGGCTTTGGTGGATCTAGGAGAGGGACTGGTGGTAGGCAAAGTGGTGGCACAGGAGAGCAGATTGTGGAGCAGTAGTGGAGTATGATGGAAATGGTAAAGCCCCTGGACTGTGATTATATATACACCCCGTAGGTGGTGAAGGAGCAGAGGCTGTGGGTCCTGTGTTATAGATAGGCAGAGGGAAGGTGGAAGTGGTTGGTTCTAGTTTAAGAGCATAAGGTAAAGGTGTGGTATGGACTGAGGAGAAATAGGTTAGTGATGGTAGAACAGCAATTGGGAAGGGAGGAGCAGTTAGTGAGTCCCTCAGGGGAGAGGGCATGGAGGAGGGGTCTTGGTTGGGAATGAAACAGTTCAAGTGTTGACTGAGAAGACTAAGGGTGATGGTTGCCTTGGTGGGGAGGCTGCATGGAGGGAAAAAAGCTGGGCAGGCAGCATTTTGGTTTTAGAGTTCTAGTCCAGACATCCATGAACCCAGGGAGAGGGGGCATCTCTGTCAGACCGAGAGAGTATGCCTTACCCCAGCACCTTTATGATCCCTGATATCCATTTATTCCCAGTGAAGAGCCGGAGGCCATCCTTGGGGGAGTTGCTCCTGCGGCATGCACACAGTCCAACCAGGGCCCGGCAGGCGGCACAGTTGGTTCTTCAGCCTGGGAGAGACGGCGCAGGACTTGGCCTAGGTGGGGGCTCCCCTGGGGCTTCAACTCCGGTTCTGCCCCCTCGGGGTGGGGCCCCTGAGCGCCAAGGTGAGGCTCTGCGAGTCAAGAATGCTGTCTACTGTGCAGTCATTTTCCCTGAGTTTCTCAAGGAGTTGGCTGCTATCTCCCAGGCCCATGCTGTCACCTCACCTTTCTTGTTGGATACTTCAGAGGAGGGATCTGGTCCTCCTGTCTCAGGCTTCGGGCCCCTCAATCCTTAACTTTCTTCCATGGACAATCAGGGCCTCTAGTGGCCTGGGCTGGGGCTGGGGTATAAGCTCCTTTTTATGTTTGGAGGCAGTGGCAAGAGGACTTTTTAATTTATTTCTGATGAATGTTTTATGGAGAACTTGTTGCAATATGTATAAAAGGGAAATCTCTATTCTCTGCTCATTCTTCTTTGCCACCCTTTTTCTCTGGGGCTGGGGCCCCAGGAGGGTTGTACATAAATGGGAGGTCAGGGGTATTTTCTTTCTCGTGAGGACATTGGTGCCGAGGTTTCAAGGTGCTTCTTACGCCCTTAAAGGCTGAGGGGATCATGGAGCCTGGGGGAAAAAGTAGGGACTCTTCTCCAGCCCCAAGACAAAAGAAGCAGCATGGGCCCAGGATGGTTTGGGGGAGCAGCAGCTGATGTTTATTGGGGACCAGTATCCCTATGCCAGATCTTGGGGGTCTTGCCCCCTGCGTCTCTCGCCTCAGCTTCATTCGTCGCTGTCGAACTCTGAGGATAGACCCTGCAGCAGGGGCAGGGACATGGAGTGCCGGTCGGGGTCCCCGGGGCCCCCACCCTGGACTCCTGGTGGGGGGCTGCGGGGGCTGAAGAGCCAGTTCTCTGCCAGGGTTGGGGATAGTCACAGCTTGACTCATGCCCTTGTCTTTCTGCCTCCCTGTCCCTCCCTCTGGCACTCTGTGCTGTGCCCACCCCCTCACCAGGTCCATGCTTCCATTTCCCCACCCCTGGCTCCCTTACTCCATCCCCTTCACCAGTATCCAGTGAGGATTTAGGGGTGCCCCACGCATTCCTGGGGCACACATTCCTATATTCCCCCCACCCTCTCCCTCCACCAGAGATCCCATCCCTCTCAGCTTCATATCCCTTAGCAGTACCTGACAACATGTGGGGCCCCCTGCGGAAGGGATTCCGGCCCTTGTAGGAGAATCTGGTGGGTCTGCACTCTGGCCCTTCCTGAGGAGGTGGTGTAGGTGGGGCAGGGACAGGTGGGGGCATATCAGCAGCTTCAGGGGTGTCGGCAGGAGCTGACATGGGGGCCAGAGGTGGCATAATGCTGAGGTTGGGTCTGACCCAGTTGGCCCCATGGGGCAGTGGATCTTTGGTCAGAGGCTTCTGCGGTCCTAGCACTCCTTTGGGCTGCAGTGAAAACTTGAGGCATGAGAATGCAACAGGCAGGGACCGTTGTAACCGGAGCAGCTGGGGCTCTTGGGCTGTAGGCAACAGCCCCAGCTGCAGCCAGGAGCAGGAGAAGACCTGGTAGATGACATAGATACTGTGGGTGCTTCGGAGCCAGGGAAGATTTTGCTGTAGGCTCACCTGCCCTGGTGGCAGCAACAGGAAGGCCACCTTCTTGCGCAGGCCACCCATGTGCAGGCGGATCCGGCAGGGCTGCCCATCCAACAGTCGCATTTCTTCATAGGCTATCTCTGCCCGGCCGTTTGGTGAGTATTCCCGAGTGCAGTGGGCAAAGGCACCCTCAGATCCTGCCTGCTCCAGGAGATTTGGCAGTGGCCCCACTGGTTGTAGTGCCCGCCGACACTGCCGACTTGGTAAAGCCAGGCGGGTGTGGGCTGGTCGGGACTGCTTCACCAGCACACCCAGTAGGTCATAGCAGGCTGAATCTGACAGGAAAGGTACTGCCACTACATTGCGCCCAAAGCGCTCCTCGATAACCTGCAGACGGCCAGTTTATAGGTCAGGGACTGAGTTAGGGTCAGGAGTTACCTGGTAGCCTACTCTAGATTGACACTCCTGCTGTTCCCTGTGCAAATTACATCTCTACAACGTGCTCAGACTGTTAGGGTTCCTGCTTATTTCCTAGTTCTCTCCTGTAGCAAAATCTTGAATGTACTATGTGCCAGACCCTGCTAGATACTGAGAATACATAAAAGCATGAGACTTTGACCTTATTCTATCATAGCCCAGTCTAATGGAGGAGACAAATATGTATGTACACAGTAGTCAGCTAAGTAAGATAATAGAGAGCAAGAGTGTGGAGGAGACCAGCAGTGATTTAACAGCTTTTTTCCTTTGATAGAAGAGGATCAGAGAAGGTTTCTAGGTGGTAATACATGAGCTTTGAAGGAATCAGTTAGGTAGGATGGTCAGTCCAGGGAAAGGATACGACCAGTTTAAAAACGTAAATTTATAAACTAGGAGGGACACATTCAGGAACACATAATTTAATTGTATTTAAACATAGGATATGAAGAGGGACAGGCACACAGGAACAAGACTATGAAAGATCTTGTGTGTATGCTCAGTGACAGGAATTTAGTCCTGAGGGCAATGGAAAACCACTTGAAGGGCTCTGGGCAAGAGGAGCAAGATCAGAAGGGCGCTTTAGAAAGTTAATTTTGAGTAGGAGAGAAAAATCAGTTAAGCGTATTTTTTGCAAGCAAAACACAGTGAGGCCTTCAACTAAAATAATGGGGGAAGATTATTTAGGTTGTAGAATTAGTAGAACTTAATCACTTACGGGGTATGGGAAAAGGAAGCCTGAAGGGTTAGTTCTCAGATGATTGATTGGGTAGGTGATGTCATTCTCCACAAATGGGTACACAGAAATAGGTTGGAATGACCATTCTTAAACATTTTCTGCTCTAGCTGTAGGGGAGAGTGCCTTTAGAGATTTGAGGTCATCTTTGTAATGGTGGTTCTAGTATACTTTCAGGGATTCTAGTTCATCTAGGTTTTGTCCTTTTCTTGGCCTTTTTTGGTTTGGATAACCCAGTTCTGGAAAGTTTAATTTCCTGACCAACTAGGAAATCTTGTAAGATCCTCTTTCATATTTGTACTTAGGTATGATCTCAACTCATTAAAGATATTGCTACCTGAGACTTCTGGCTCTGTGTTCTGCTAGGCAGTGCATAAAATTCCTTGTTTGAATCCCTTTCCTGTTTGAGACCTGTTCTGTTTCAGAATAGCATTTTTGCTGTGTTCTACTCCCCTTTCTCAGCTCCCAATTCCCACATATCTGTCCTGTACTGATGGCATTGCCCAATTTGCTGGCCTTCTGGTAGAATTCATCAATGATCCCTTAAAGGTCATTCTGATTTTTGATACATAGAACTGTTTTGGAAGTGCTGCCCCATAGTATAAGAGGAGGGTAGCTAACTGATGGCATTGTGTCTGAACTATAGACAAGCTGAGGTAGCTTGACGACTACTGTCTTTTGTCACCTAGCCAGGGAAATACATGGTGCTTTTTCTTTTCTTTTCCTTCCTTCCTTCCTTCCTTCCTTCCTTCCTTCCTTCCTTTCTTTCCATTTGAAATACTAGTGTTTATCATGGTGCTTTTTCTTAATCTACGTAGAAGAATTTCCCATAATTCCTCTCATTGCTTCAGTGGGACATGGAATACTTTCTTTTTTGGTGGGGGCATCACGCTGAAGAACAGTTCTCTGAGAAGCTCAGAGAAGGGCCAGTTGGGTTACCAGGGGTGAGAGCAGAGCATTGGTGGGTTGGCATTTTTGTTTAGAATGTTCTGCCCCATGACAAAGAAAGCATAGTTACCAAGTATAACTTCAGAATCTTACCCTAGCTGCTCCTTTGGTCCCTAGGATCCTATACAAATAAGACAAATAGGAGTGTCTCCAGTAGGTACCTCTCTAGTGGGATTTTCACATTTAAAATACCTGGTTCTTATAGTCCAAGTTTCTGATCAGGTGAATCCCTGATTTAGCTGGAGGCTTTTTCCCAGAAGAGACATGAATTTGCCATGGTGGAGAGGTTTATTCGGCCCTCTTTCTTACTCTTGAGGTCCCCAGTGGTTATACTAAAATAGGGAAAATAGGGCACTCAGTTTTATGCTAGGGGACTGTTCTTGGTAGAATCACCATGTCAGACCACTACCTGTTCCCACTGCACTTTTACTTCTGGGTGGAAGCTCTGTGGAACATAGAGGCCTACAAATTTAGATCTCCCAGGGGCAGCCCAGGGAAGTGAGTGTGGAAGACTATCTTCCTGTATATACCTTGGCTGGTATGAATTCTGAATGAGGAGCCCTCAAGCCACATTCCGGTTAGCTGTATGTTCTACAAAGTGCCCAATAAACTATCATTTCTGGAGAGAGGAAACCAGGTCACTCAGAGGTGTCCTGCTCCTTGAATTTGCCACATATCACCAGCGATTTATTGTGTATCTCTACCCTGCCTTTTCTGTTTTCCATTTAAGTAGGGAACTTTTCTGATGCTCAGAGATGGTGTAGCTTTCTACTTGTTGATGACCTCATTTACTTTCATCCTAATGAAATGCTTGATCTTGTCCAGGACCAACCTGCCAAAGCCAGGTACTCTGATACTTGTGAGGGCTTTGGCTTTTCTGTTTCTGCTTCCTTGGGAAGCTGACCTTTGTGAGCTCCGTTTCTAATGGAGCAACATCTATTAAGGCTGTTCAAGTCTGGTAGGCACTACTTTAAGACGGTTGTTTTAAACTTGTTGGGCTGCCTTCTATGAGTACTTTAAATTCACTATCCTTGGATTATTTAACCAGAACCTGATCCCCAAATTCTCCAGATTCAGAAATTGTGGCCATCTAGATTTGGCAGGATATGTTGGGTACTTGCAACTCAGATAGAGCTGACATCTGCCTGTTCCTGAAAATCTACATATTTGGCTCAAAACCTAAATTTCCCATTTGGTGGATGTTAAGGTCGGGAGGAGGGTAATCAGTGAAGAGGTCCAAGCTTCTTTAGAAGGCTTACAAGGCCCTTCATGATCAGCTCCTGTACCTCTTTGACCTCATTTTTGCCACTACTCATGTCAACTCTGCTCTAGAGGAGTATTTGCAGTTCACAAGTAATGCATTTTTAAAAATCCTCTCTTGGCTTTTGCATATGCTGTACTTTTAATTATACTCTGTTCACTCCCTCACCCACCCACCCATCTGCTCATTAACTCATTTAGGTGTTTATTAAGTGTTCCTCTTCCCTCTATGTGAGAATAATTCCCACTTGCCTAGCTAGCATGTCACTCTCTCCAGGAAGCCTTCCTGACCTCCTAAGTCCTACCCTGATTTAACACTTCTCTGTTCTCATAAATTCTTACCGCCTTTCAAGGAACTTCTTGCTGTTTTTTGCAATTGTGATTAAATTGGACAGTGTGTACAAAGCATTTAGTACAGTGTCCAGTGTGTATGCAAACACTGGGTAAATATTACTATTATCTTCAAGCTTCCTGCCCCTTCCTACTCCTAAGTTGCTCAGACCTATCTAGGTCACACTTTGTTACTTTCTCTTTAGCTCTCTTACTTTATCCTTGATGAGGGTCCAGGTGGCATCAGCTTCATCCAGTGTCAGCAGGTGGGGGGTACCAACCAACATGATGGGGTATGGGAGAGGTTAGGCAGGGCAGTAGCTGCTGCAGGAACCCCAAGCGAGCCAGAGAGGTGAGACCCCAGGCCTTAGGCTTTGACCTACTTACTATAGTATGAGGTCATAGAGGTCTTGCTAGATAATGGGGCTTTGGGTGTGGAGAGGGCAATCACTTTCCTAGCCTCACTATATGCACAGCATGAGTCCATACCCTTGAGTCACTTATCCATTCTCCTCCTTAGGGGAGAAAAATTCAGGGGTGCTTGGGTATGTTTGTATATGTCTGTTTATGCATGTGCACATATGTGTGTATGTGTAGTTCTTGGTCTGAGTTCCTTAAGGAAGCAGAATCAGGCTTCCCCCTCAGCAGCCTTGTTGAAGCAATTTGCTGTGCTACCGTTTCAGCTATAGGTGACTTCTTCATGAGGTTGGATAGGGGTCTTGAAGAACACGCTAGAAGCATAGATCAGGACTTAGACTGAGAACCAAGCAGTAGTTCTTAACCTTGGTCATACTTTGGAATTACCTGGGAGCTTTAGAAACTACAGATGCCTGGATGCTACCCCCTGAAATTCTGATTTAATTGGTCTGGAGTGTGCCTAGGCATCAGGATTTCTTAAAGCTCCTCAGGTAATTCTGATGTACAGCCTAGGTTGAAACCCATTATTAATGAGTGGGTTACAATTGCAATGAAAACCAGGTGTATGTGTAGGAGGGTGCCATGCTGAGTGATGACAATGTGGAGGATAAGAATCCAATTGGGATAATATTGCCTTAGCAACTGGAGAGGACTTTCAGGAAGCCAGAATTACCCAGGTAAATTTGAGAAAAATTTTCTTCATGTGCCACTCCCTGTCCTAGGGATATCTGTGTACTTTCCTACTGCAGCCCTAATCTATGTGTGATTTCCCCTTGTGTCCCTGTCCAGAGATCTCCACCTAGTGTTTGCTGGAGAAGAAGAGTGTTTTTTCCTAAGAGAACCACTCTGGAGAGCCTTTCTAGTAGCTACTCTCTGCCTCTGCCTCTTATCTGTCTAAAGAGTCTTCTCTTGAGTCCCTTTTGAGACTCTCCTGCATGCCCAGGAAGACCACTTCTGTTTAGGGAACATCCTTTCCTATCCTGGCCCAGCATGTAGAGCTATCCCATACAGTCAGCCATCGTCTGAGCTGGCTGAGGTATTATGAGTATGAGGCACAGGAAATGGCCCTACATGAGGAAACTGACCTCACGGTGGGTTAGAGCTAAGGGTATATATGGGTGCCACGTCTTTAAACAAAGGTGAGCATGGGACTGCACTCCAGGAGAGGAATTAATATCAAATATTTGTTGAAGTCTTGTATTTTAGAGGCTGCGCCAAACACTCCAAATCTCTTATCTTGGTTAATCCTTTTAGTAACTTCTTGAAGTAGGTATTATTTATTTCCTCATTTTACAAGTGAATTAAAAGGCTCAGAGAAGTTAAGTAAATTAGTGCAAGGGATACACTGAGTTACTGGAGGATCTGGGATTCAAACTTAAGTTGGCCTGATTCCAGCTTTTAAATTAAAGTTTAAATGGTAGTCCCTTTTTGGTGAGGGGAGAAAATGCCGTGTTCTTTCTGCTCTCCTGAGTGTGTGGCAGGAGGGTGCCTGCTCAGTGGATGTTCAAAATCATGTAGTGAAAAGGAAGTGGGCAAGGTGAGACAGATGCTTCAGAGACCAAACCAGAAACCCCAGGCTCCTTGTCAGGACAAGTGCAAATCTCTTCCTCTAGTGCCCTCTTAGCCCTGTGCCAGGAGCAGTCATCTGATGTAGCATAGTTGGCACCTCTTTTCCATCCAGAAAGGAATCCTGAGTGAGGTAGACAGCAGTGGGGAGAGAGACATACACCAGGACAGGGCACACAGATGTGGGGCAAAACAGTGGAAGGAGGCAGAGATGCAGAGGTCCAGAGATGGGAGTTACTGATAAACACGGGTATCCAGATCTTGATGGGGTTCCAGAATGGGAAGGGGGTGGATAGGGTAGGGATAGGGATGGTGGGCTCTTGGTGAAATGTGATGAAGATCTCTTTCAGATTCTCATTGAGAGGGCTCAGAGGGGAAATTGGGTACAGATGAACTCCTCAGCCATCTTTTGTTGATGATCATGATTCTTTAGGTTCCCTGCATTCCACATTTCCCTACCCTGACATTAAGTGAGACTGTATTTCCCTTTGGCTAATAGAGTCTGAGATTGAAAGTTACTGAAGGAAAACAGATGACAACTGGGTTCTGGATGGAGTTGATGGGCCTCAGGGCTGGGCTGTTTGGGCCATAGCCTGGGGTTGCCTCCAGAGTGGCACATTCTGGGGTTTCCCTAGACACATTGTCTGCAATGTATCTGAGTGGTGACCGGACTAGACAGCATGAGAGGAACAAACAGGCAGGAGCTGGTTATTTAGGGAACATGAGGTTCTCTGCAAGAACCTCCAGGCTAGTATAGAATCGTGTTGATAGCAAAGACTCTGGAGGGATAAACAGCCCTAACTTCTCTCAGGCTATAGGGAAAACTGTACAAGTCCCAAATCCCTTACTTGAAACCTTCAGGGATAGATGTGTTTTGGACTTCAAAATTAGAAAGAATCTAGTGCCTTTATCAGATATAAAGGAGTACTCCAGTGAGGTTTAGGACAGTGCCCTATAATCAAACACATCAATATTTCTACAGCTAAATATATGAATATTCACACCAAGTGAGATACATAAATACTATAAATACCCTCATGGTGTTTCAGGTTAGGTTTTGGGCCAAAGTTATGAAAAAAACATTGTTTCTTCAGAGATTTCTTTTATTTTGGAATTGTGGATAGGGATTATAGGCTTAGAATTACTCTTGGATTGTTGTGAGGAGTAAGGGAGTGCCCATAGTCTTCTGAACACATCACATGGTAGGTATGTCTGTGATCTCTATCCAGACAAAATACCAATGTCCAAGGGTGTGGATTTTCGGCTTGAAAGTTCTTGCAATGAACAATGCACAACTTTGGAATCAGCTGCGTTGGGGAGCTGTGCACAACCAGGGAATGAAGGTGCCTTAGACAAGAGGTTTCCTGTGGTGGGAAGGAGACAGAATTCATTGCTTGTGAACATTGACTGCATAGGATTTCCTTTTTTCATGTACCAGAGGGGAGAGGCAAAAAAAATGTGTGTGTGTGTGTATATGTGACATAAGACTGTCACACATACATTTCTTTATAATAATGTTGTAATAAATATCTTACTGCATACATCTTTGTTCACATCTCTAATTATTTTGCCAGGATAGATTTATTGAAGAGGAATCCCTAAGAGAAGGATATGGACATCTTAATGACTCATGACCAATTAGGATTAGAATTTTGTCACAATTATCCACAAAATCATTGACAAGAGTTTTTTCAATTCAGAACTTCATGAAAAAGATTAGTCTTGAAAATGACTGACCCATACTCAAGGAAAATTGTCTGTCTTCTCAATGTGACAGCACCTCTGAAAATCATGCAGAGCTTCTGGGCTTTCTCTTCAGCTCCTTGTTAGTGAGGACCTGGTGAGACCCCATGTGGCCCTGAGAGGATGTCACTTGCCTTTTCAGATTTGCAGCCCCCTGTTATGTGTGCTTTTCCCTGGTACTTGGTCCAGCTATCTGTGCTGAGTGGTTAGCATTGCACTTGGCTTCAGATACTCATGGATGACTCAATTACCTGGCAGTTATGATAGTTCTCCCAAAGAGCTTGGGTCTGCCTGTGCAGCCTGCAGCTTTTCTGACCTTCTAACAGTGAATCCCTGCTTTCTGTCTGAGATTGTATTCATTCTGGGCACCACTCTGGTGTGAAAGATCTTTTGCGCAATGTCCCTTCCATTGTAATCTTAGCTGAAGGTCAATACCCTGTTGGGCAACACCATGAAACACTTCCTGTGTAATATCTCTATTCTCTGGTAGCCACAGCAGTGTAAAATATTCCTATACCTACATCATGTGCTTCTAGTGATGCTAGCCAGTCCAAATGGGGGTGCTGATGTAGATTTTATTTGGGAATTCAACATTTTTGGCTGAGGATGCAGAGAAAAGCAAATTGGTAGGAGACCATAATGACCAGACCTCAGGCAAGCAGGTAAAGTGGTTACAATGATTTCCTGGGATATCAGAATTTCTTAAAAAAAATTTGTTTTGAATAAGAAATTCTTTATTAATAAGTCACAATTAAGAGAGTTTAAAATATGAATCATTGTTAGAGGACAGAAACATATATGTGTGAATCTATAACTCCACATTTATACCACACAAATCTAGTTCTATAGATTAAATAGCTTTAAGTAACTGATCTGTAGTAAGCTCAATACTAGTTTTGATGGGTTTATTGTTAAGATATGCACATATATATTTTTTAATATAATGTATTGTCAAATTGGTTTACACACAACACGCAGTGCTCATCCCAACAAGTGCCCTCCTCAATGCCCATTAGCCACTTTCCCCTCTCCCTCAACCCCCATCAACTCTGTTTGTTCTCATTATTTGAGAGTCTCTTTTATGGTTTGCCTCCCTCCCTCTCTGTAACTTTTTTTTCCCCTTCCCTTCCCCCATGGTCTTCTGTTAAGTTTCTCAAGATCCACATATGAGAAAAAAATGAAATCTGGCCATTGGCAGCAACGTGGATGGAATTGGATGGTATTATGCTAAGTGAAATTTTAAAAAATTTTAAGTGTTTATTTTTGAGACAGAGCAAGAGAGTGAGAGCGTGAGTGTGAATGGGGTATAGAGAGAGAGGGAGGCAAAAACTCGATGTGGGACTGAAACCCACAAAATTTCTTTAAGTTAGACCTCTGACTCCTAAGGCTATAGCCCCAGGGAGAGTTCTAGCCATTAATTCTTGAGATATTGACAGGAGAGTGGGGACAGGGGAAATAGACCCAACCCCATGAGACCAAGAGGATTCTCTGAACTAGGAATGGCAAAGATCAGTCTGCTGGTCAATTTTGGGACCCCTATCTGGGCACATTATCCAGATTCTCAGAATGTGGGAAATAAGCCTGTAACTCCTTCTGTCCCTAAGGACAGAATCTGGCTCCGGGAATGAAGAGTGCTGTGAAGTACCCAAGCACTTCCCTCCAGAGACAGTGTCACTCTTCCCAGGTCCCCAGGTCTAGAATCAGTAGAGGAACTTTTGTGTGGAGACTTGGGCAGACTTAGGTTAAAATAATGGAAGGGGCGGGAAAGGAAGTTTTCTTTAAATTAAATCTTGTGTACTATGAGCCATGGTAATTCCTGATCTTATATTCCCGCGTGGTAACAGAGCCCCCTGCCCCCTGCCTCCCAAGCAAGATACATGGATGGACCAAAGTCTGCAGATGCTAGCAATATGCGAAGTAGAGGCTTCACAGCAAATAATCTTTTGAGTGATTATCATAGTCAAACGTAGACAGTGGGAGAAAGAAGACATAATCCACACCTCCAGGCCCTAGACTCTTCTGAATATTCCCTCACCTCCACCACCAGGCTCCATGGTTTTTTGCCTGTTAGAACTGGCTTTTTCTGAACGTGAAGGTTTCCAGGAGCCGGTCCCTGATTTGCTTGGTGCGGACCCCATAGATGAGTGGGTTGAGGGCAGGTGGCAGAAGCAAATAGATATTAGAGAGAAGGATGTGCACAGGCTTTGGGACAGTGTGATGACCAAAGCGGTGTGTGAGGTAGGAGAAGAGACCAGGTACATAGAAGGCCAGAATGACACAGACGTGGGAACTACATGTGCCAAAGGCCTTGGCACGGGCCTCCCGGGTAGGCAGCCGCAGCACAGTGTGAACAATGAGTCCATAGGAGCCAGTGATGCCCAGGATATCTATACCAGACACGGCCAGTGAAAGCGCCAGCCCATACAAATTGTTGGCCCGTGTGTTGCCCACCACCAGCTCTACCACCGCCATGTGTGCACAGTAGGCATGGTCTATGGTCTTGGCTTGGAAGTGCTCAAATCGTGCCACCAGCAGAGGGAAAGGCACAACAATAGCCACAGCTTTCAGTGTCAGTGCCAGGGCTGCATAGCCTACCCGGGCTTTGGTGACCAGGAGAGGGTAGTGCAGTGGACGCCCTACTGCCACGGCACGATCACAGGCCATGGCCAGCAGTACCCCAGATTCCACAGCAGTCAGTGCATGAACAAAGAACATCTGAACCAGGCAGGCACCATACGACACAGGTCGGGGCCCAAGCCACAGCACAGCAAGTAACCCCGGGGCTATAGATGTAGCTAAACCCAGGTCTGTGGCTGCCAGTGTGGCCAGTAGTAGAAACATGGGCTGCTGTAGTGTGGAATCTATCTGCATCAATGTCAGCAGTGCTCCATTGCCCAGCAGAGCCAGCAGATACATGGGCCCAAAGACCAGTGTCAGCCAGGCCTGGGCAGCCCCTAGCCCTGGAATGCCAGTCAGTATGAAGAAGGTTGGACGTGGGAAGGTGGAGTTGGAATGTGGACCTTCTACCATCCTGTGGGCAAAGCTTTAGGGTTCATGGGGGCATGACTCCTGAAAGGGGAAGGACAAAGGGAGAGATTTTGGACGGTGTCACAGTGGTAGAGACCCATCCATGGAGTATGTGTAGGGATAGTACAGGGTTGGGGGAATCACAGGGTTATAGCCTTTGGTTAGGGTTTTTGATGGATAATCAAGGCCACTACACTAGCTTGGATGGGAGAATCCTTTGTGCCCGAAAGCCCTTGAGTATCACAGGAGGAGAACAGGGGAGACACTTGTATGGAGAAAAGAGGGCCTCACTGCTGCAGTGGCTGGTACAGTTGGAGGTCACCTGAGAGCTTTGGCTGACATAAAGAATTTTCTTCCTTAGGATCCAAAGTAGAGTCCATCTTAGTCTCTGTATGATGCGGAGAAAGCCAGAGCTGGTTGGGTATCAGACCCCAGGCTGCACTGTCCTTGACTGTATACCCTTAGGCAGAGCTCCTGGGCCTCAGTTTCCTCAGCTCTGCAATGGAGGTGGGCACAGTGGTTGCAGTGTATTCCAGCTTTAGCATTCTGGGCGTCAGCCCTGGAGAAGAAAGTAAAGAGAAAAGGAGAAATAGGAGGAGGAAGATGGGACTGGAGTGAAAATGGAAGCCTGATGTGACCAGAGAAAATCTGGTAGGTTTTGAGGGTGCTTACATTATTTTTAACTTGATGGTGAAGTAGTGAACTTGAACACCAGCTGGAGGTTTGAGGTTGGGCCTAGGAAGGAACAGAGAAAGAGATGGCAGCAAAAAAAAGAACTTCTCTGTCTCCCTGCCTTCCTCACGATCCCGAAGGGGGTCTTGCTAAAGTCTTATTCCTGGGGTGCAGAGGGAGTGGAGGTAACAGAGGTGGAGGAAATGGCATTCAACCCAGGGTAGCAGCCATATGTGGAAGAAACATCTCTGATGTAGGAGGCAGGGTGAGTAGAACCGATTCCACCCAGACTCTAACTCACAGCCGAAGATTAATAAACATCGAATGGATAAATGAACGACAAAGAAAGCATCAGCAGAAGACTCGACTGGAGAAAGATCGTGTGCACTGGGTGTTGGCAGCTCCTCTTCACCTTGGCCAGTGCCTATGGGGCCTTTTATGAAGCTGTTCCACTGGCTTCCCTCAGGGCCCTAACCCCTCCCACCTGTGCCACATTAACTCTTACCTGCGCTGCCTCCTTCCTCCATGCTGATAGTCAGGTAACTTCAGGAAGTAGAGTAAGGAGGCAGAGATGGGGGCAATGAGGAAAGAAGTGGATTTATGGGAGTGGAAAGATCTGGGAAAGAGGAACACTTCCTCTGTGCTGACTCCCTGAAGTCTGGAAAGAAGACATTGCTATATTATTGATTAGCATGGGTCCCTCTCTGTTGTAATTACTTGTCTCTCTTTCCCACTAGGCTGAAAGTGTTACAGGCAATACTTCTTATTAGCCAGTTGTCTCCACTGCTTATCACAATACCTGGCAAGTCATTGTCCATGAATAAATATTTATTGCTTTTATTTGTGTGACAGTACTGCTGGCCCGAACAGCATTTGCTGACTAACAGGGGCTCTTACATTTTCAGGAGCCTTAGGTATCCATGGAGATGAGAAAGAAAGACTTATTCACCATCAACCCCGAGTCCACTAGGTATGATTCTGTTCTAATGAGACATAGCTTAAAAATCACCACACTATACAAAGTAATGCTGTAAAAAAGAGGGCTTGCGGGAAAGGTGGCAGTAGGGCACAACATTCCAAAACTTCGTCAGTGACACATTTGAAAAAAGGATAGGACTCTAATAAAATGGTGGCACCGTTCTACACATGTTAACTGGTTAGAAAGTACAAAAACACACCAATAAATACGGCCCTTTACCTTAAAAAAAAACCTGGGTTTTCCTTGTGGAAACATTAGAAGCAGTTTGTGAATAAGAAGCTAGATAGAAAGACTATGGTAGTCCCCCTTATCTGTGGTTTCGTCGCTGCAGTTTCAATTGTCCGCTGCCATCAACCCCGGTCCGGAAGCACATGATTCTTTCTGATGAATCGTCAGGTCAACCGTAGCCTAATGCCAGGTAACAATGCTGCGTCATTCCCCTCATTTTGCGTCTTCACGTGGGCATTTTATCCTCTCACACATCATCACAGGAAGAAGGGTGAGTACAACACAGTAAGGTATTTTGAGAGACCAGGTTCACATAACTTTTATTACAGTATATTATAGTTACTCTTATTATCAGTTATTATGGTTAGTCTCTTGCTATGCCTAATTTATAAATTACACTTTGTCATAGGTATGTGTGTATAGAAAAACAGGTACAGGTACAGGCATACCTTGTTTTATGGCGCTTCGCTTTACGCTTCACAGAGAATGGTTTTTTTTACAAATTGAAGGTCTGTGGCAACATTGCTTCTAGCAAGTCTATTGCCATTTTTTCCAAAGGCACTTGTGCACTTTGTGTCTGTGTCACATTTTGGTAACTTTTGCAACATTTCAAACTTTTTCATTATTTAAAAAAAACTTTTTTAATGTTTATTTTTTACTTTTGAGACAGAGAGGGGTTGGGGGCAGAGAGAGAGGGAGACACAGAATCCGAAACTGGCTCCAGGCTCCTCACTGTCAGCATAGAGCCCAACCTGGGGTTTGAACCCATTAATGGCAAGATCATGACCTGAGCCAAAGTCGGACCCTTAACCAACTGAACCACCCAGGTGCCCCACAAACGTTTTCGTTATTATTATATTTGTTATGTTGATCTGTGGTCACTGATTACAACTCACTTTTCAGTGAGCTTTTCAGCTCAGATGATGGTTAGCATTTTTTAGCAATAAAGTTTTTAAATTAACGTACTCACATTTTTTTTAGATATAATGCTATTGTATACTTACTAGGCTACAGTACTGTGTAAACATAACTTTTATGTGCACTGGGAAACAATTCACTTGACTCACTTTATTGCTATATTTGCATTAACTGTGGTGGTCTGGAACTGAATCAGCAGTATCTCTGAGGTATACCTGTTTAGATAGAGTTTGGTATTATCTGTGGTTTCAGAAATCATTGGAGGTCTTGGAACTATGACTTGCAGATAGCAGGGGACTACTGAATCCGAAATTGGGTGGAATGTTGTAACACCAGATGTGGATGAGTGTGGTTCACAACCTAAGCAGTGATAGGTGTTTGAGGTGTGTGGATGTTGGATTTTCCTTTGCTGCTATGTTCAGCAGTTTTGAATGCAGTTTTGTGCGTTCACCTAGTTTCTGGCTGAGAGAATCACACAATAAGGAAACCTTAAATTCACTCAGTTCCATTTTACCCAGTTCCCTAATGTAGCAATTGGTTGGAACAAATTTGCTTTTCAAAACCAGCTTTATAGCAGATCTCACTGAATCTCTTTTGTGCCTGTCCTTGTACCATATGGAGAGGATACAGTGGCAATAACAAAACCCTGCTGCCCTCAAAGAGCTCACTGTCTAGTGGACACAGTGATGCAAACAGTTGTTGGGTTACTTTAGTAATTGCATTGGTTGAGGTTAGTACCAGATATGGTGGGAGCACAGGGAAAGGAGCCTTTCCCTCTTCTCTGAATTATAGTATGGCTACAGTTTCCTATGTGCAGGCACTGCTCTAAATCCTATTCCTATAATATGTATTTGCAATAGGTGCAATGTTTTCCCCCATTTTACAGATAAAGAACGAAGGCACAAAGATAAGTAAGACACAAAGATAAGTAACTTATCCAAGGGCACACAATTAGTAAATAGCAGTTAGATACTAAATGGGTCTGGTCCTAGCCTTCTTGCATTTCTGCTCTGACTAAGTCTCTCTGACCAATAATTGGCTAAAGAGACCAGTGCTGGGTTGGTCAAGACTTTCCTTACAGAAGATGAGTAGTTCTCTCTTAAAGTTCTCTAACATTTAGAAGGGTATTTCTGAACTGAGTATGTTTACGGGGGCCATCTTTTGAGAAATTAATTCCCTGAAGTTCTTTTCTGAGGTTATAGGTAGCACGTTTATCTTTCCCACCATTACCTCTCTTCCTCTAAGCTCACATTGCATGGCTGAAACTCTTACAATGAGGAAAGTACTAATGCCATCCACAGAATCCAGCAAACATTATTAAGCACTCATTACATGCCAAAGATAGTATTATGAATGGGGAAATAGCCTCTGTGATCATTACATTCACATAGCCACCGAGGCCCACTTCCTTAAGAGCTTGTATATCTGTCTCCTTTCATCCCCACTGGAGTTTGTCCCATTGTACACCCAACAACCTTAGAATATTGCAGCATCCTCATAACTTGTTTTTAATATTCTTCATTGTGGTTTCTTTTTTTGTCATACTTTTATTTGAGAAGTGGCTAATATATATAAAAGTACAAAGAATAACAAATGCACACATTATCAAGACATACAAAATTGATAATTACTACCATTTTGTCGCACCTGTTTTCAGTTCCTTTTTAATGAAGGTAATAAAAGTTACAGATAAAGTCTCTTTTATCTCCTATAGTGTTTCATTCTCACCTTAGGGACAATAGTTATCATGGATTTTGTGTATCTTTTGAATTCAGCTTTATAATGCTTTTCTAGTTGGTGCTTTTAGATATTTACATAAATTATTTCCTACTGTATACAGGAAATTATGTTTTGAGTTCTGTTTATGCAGGTATACAGAGCTTTATCATCCCTTTATATGTCTACATAGTTTTATAGCATATGATTATACCAAAACTTCTTTCTTTCTTTATCGGTGGACTTATTGTTTCTCGAGATTTTGCTGTGTATACTGCTATTTAATATTTTTGTACATGCCTCTTTATTCACATGGATAATGTTTCTCTAGACCAAACATCTAGAAGTGGAATTGCTGGGTCATTAGATATGCACATTTATATCTTTACCAGATTGTTAAATTGTTCTTCAAAAATAGTTTTTCCAATTTGTATTTCCACTAGCAGTTCATGAGAGATCCTGTGTTTTGACATCCTTGACAACACTTGATATTATCAGACTCTTATGTTTTTGTGAATCTGATTAAGTAGAAACATGAACTCATTATTTTAATTTATATTTTAAATATATTTATTGGTCATTTATATTTCCTCTTCTATAAACTGTCTCATCATTTGCCCATTTTTCTGTTCAGTTGTCTTACCCTCTCCTCTATATTTTTTTGTACACCTTTTCTGTATGTTCTAGATACTAATCCTTTGTTTTATGCTGGAAATACAACCTTCCAGTCTGTTAGTGATCTTTTAATTTTGTTTATGGTGTCACTTGTCTTACAGAAAATTTTAATTTTAATAAAAAGCACGTCTAGGCCATGTACTTTTGTGTATTATTTAATAATTCCTTTCCTACCCTGAGATTGTAAGCGTTATACATTTTATGGTGTTTAGACTTTTTTTTTACATTTACTTCTTTTAATCCACCTGAAATTTGTTTTTGTGTGTATGGTATGAGACTAGGGTCTAGTTTTATTTCTTTATTTTTCTTAAAAGGAAACTTAGCTATTCTAGTACTTTTCTACAATTATATACAATTATTACAAACTAAGTTCCTATGTATAATAGATTTGATCTAGGCTATGTTCTATATTACATTAATGTTACATGCTAATTCCTCACCAATATTACTGTAATTATCTTTATATCTGGCAGGCAGGTCACTTTTTCTTATTCTTCTCTGTATGTGTATTTCCAGAAACATCCTGGCTTTTTTTTGTGTGTGTGTGTGCCCTTATTTTCTTACATGATTATTAGAATCACTTTGCCAACTTCCATGAAAAACCTTATGGGATCTTAGTTGGGAATAAATCTAGCTTATAGATTAATTGAGGAGCATTACTATCCTTCTAGTATGGAATCTTTTCATTCATAACCTGTTATATCTTACCGTTTGTTCAAGTCTCCTTTATTTTAATTCAATAAAATTTAATGATTTCTCCATAATGACAATGCACATCTTTTGAAAATTTATTCTAGGTTTCTTACAGTTTTAAAAATCAATTTATTGGGGTAAATGCACCCATATTAAGTATATAATTTGATTTTAGACACAAATATATATGCTCACATAAGCACCAATCAAGAAATAAAACATTTTATCATCCCCAAATGTTCTCTTGTTATTCTTTGTCATCAATTCCCTGTGACCCTGGCCCCACCCCTAGCCTTAGGCAGCTATGAAAAGTATACTTTTCATTTTTTAAATTTACTTTTTCTAGAATTTTACATAAATGGGATCATGTACTGTTTTGTATATGATTTCTTTCACTCAACATGTTTTTGAGAGTCATCCATTTTCTTGTAGATATCATTAGTTCTTTCCTTTTTATAGGTGAATAGTATTCCATTGTATGAATATTCCACAAGTATTTATCCGTTATTCATTTGATTGACATTTGATAGTGAATATTGTCATATAAATCTTTGTGTAGAAATATTTTCATTTCTCTTGGGTAAATACCTAGGAATGGTGTCATTGTATCATGTGGTAGGTGTATATTTAACTTTGTAAGGGGCTAAGAAATGCTTTTCCAAAGTAGTTATATCATTTTTCATTTCCAACAATATTGTATGACATATCTAGTTATTTCATACCCTTGCCAACACGTATTGTGATCAAGCGCTGGACTAAGCACTTACATGAATCACATATAATGTCCCTATGAAGTAAGTACTACCATTATTTCTATATTACAAATAAAATAACTGACATGTAGATAGCTGAGTTCTGATCACAAAACTTCACATGAGTCCGCATTTGAACCCAGGTCAGTCTGAGTCCAAAATGGATTCTTTTAGTGACTGTATAGTATCAGGGTTACATTGGCTTCATAAAACTAAATCAGGTTGGCTTCCATCTTTTTATCATGGTAATTTAATTTCTCCTTAGCCTGCCTTTTGTCTTCCTTCCCTAGAC